AAAATAATTAATTTAACTAAAAAAATAATGTAATATGGATTATTACGTGATTCATTTCTAAAAGAATTTGTATGAATAATTTGCTTATTAGAAATATTTGCACTTTGAAAAACATTGTTTTTTTTTGGAAAAGTCAAGAAAAATTCTTTGCCTGGTTCAATCTCACAGGTTTGAATATCTATACATTTAATAGATTTTTTAAAGTCATTAACAGGTTTTGTAACATCAAACTTGGTCTTCACTTTCCAGTTTTTTACATCTATATATAAATTGATAAAAAAATATTAATCAGTTTGGAACAACTTCACTTCTGTTATCATGATATATTGTACTACACAGTGGCGTTGAACTAAAATTAAATTAAGGCGAGAGGGGCAAAAATGATTTATCATTACCTACCACCCTTTGCAATACATGGATACATACCTTTTAAATTTATGCTGACCATACGTACTTATTTTATAGAGCTAGGTGGTTAACCACAGAGCCATACCCACCGAAAAAAAAGAGTGAACGGTCCCTCTTGTGTTATAAATTCGGCGCCACTGGTACCACATTTTAAATGTTTAATTAGGTAAATTATTTAAAATTGTTGATAAAAAAAAGAAAATTAAAACTAACAAATAAAAAGTACATACTGTTAGATCCTAAAGTTAATTCATCAATAGCTGACATAAAATTATTTACTCCTTTTTTATTGTCAATAAGATTTGAGTAAGATTTTAATTCAGATCTCATGTGGTTCCATATCCAATCAGTTTCTTTCCTTAAAAAATAAAAATATATTTACCAATACAAAATTACAAAATATGTATATCATATGTTCGAACATTGAACAGAATATTTATCGACATAAGAATCTAGTATACCTAACTTATGTACCTAAATACTAAATAGGAATGAACAGTTAGAACTTACAAAGAGTTAGCCAAAGAATATGCCTGGTACAAGCACTTTCTTTTTGACTTGGCCGTTTTCAAATCGTCGTTTAGGTCTTCGTCGAACTTACTGAGTAAATAAATATCTCTAAATTTGTCTTCGATCTCGTTTACGTCGTCGGACATGACGTTACTCAAGACTTCGCAAGAAAATATGTACTACAATTTTACAGGCCAGGAAATGGAAAAATTGTTTAAGAGTTAAGAGTTAAATAAAAAATAAAAATCGGTGACTATCGTATTCAAAATAATTAGTTTATTTTTTGATTGTTAAAGTTAATTCTTATCATGTCCCATCGCCTCCGCGGCTTGTAAACCATAATCATAGTTTTCAATTTTGGATAAAATAATATTATTAATCTATACTATCGTTTAAAGCACGGCTATCGGGCTAGATATTCGGTGCACTTATTGTAGTATGTAAGCCGTGGAGAAAAGTAAGACTACTAAGAACAGAAAAGTTGTAAGAGCCGTCTCGATCTTATTCTAGTAGTAATAGTACCTATTTTACATTTACATAATTAATTTTTCAATACACCACAGCATATTGGCGGGAAATTCATATTACTATTCTTATATCTACTATCATAATGATCTGCCGCCTGATTCGTTAAGTTGGCAGTGGCGGTCGGGCGGCCCCAGCGGTGCCAATCGACCGAAGAAATGCGTGGGGACATATTTCTATTTTCAATTTTCATTGTTCCACCAACGACACGGGGCGCGTCACAGCTCAGTGTTCACTGCGACAGTGTTGTTGTTATTGCAGTCGTCCGTGGTTGCCGACGACGTCCGACTGTCCGAGTGGTATTTTTTTACATCTACACTACCGTCTGCTGCGGTGTACCAGGTACTGTGTACCACTACTTCTACTACCGTCTATCGCCGCCGACGTATACAACAACTACTACCACTACACTGCGGTGTTGTGTAATCCTCGTGTGCGGCTGCTAGTGGGACTGTGGAAGTGTGAGCGTGTAGTGCAAGGAGGAAAACAATAATAATAATTTATATTTTATAATAACAATAATAATAAAAAATAATCGCACGCAAGACGCCGTGCGCTTCGGACACTGCGGCTACAACAATCGAGGAGTTTACTCCTGTCAGGCGGTCTACGTGAAGGAGGAGGAGAAGGAGGACGACGACGACGACGACTATAGGATTTGGAAGAGGACGACAAACGCCGCGGTCGCTGCAGCCCTACCGGAGGAGCAGCTCTACTCGACAAAATACTGTGCACAACCGCCAAGATGGCTGACAACTGCTGCGTTTCGCAGAATGACAATTTCATTTGTGGTGTTGTTGAAGGTACGTTTCTCATCACATTTTTTCCCATACTTGACACTTAGCGGTCGCATCCGTGAGACATAACTACTTAAGTCTTGTTATTATTATTTAACACCACGTCAGTCCGTGCGTGCGAGACCGGGCCCCCCGGTGTAGCGATCGTCGTTATAATAGTAATAATAGGTATTACGTCGTCGTATATTCGACTTGCGACTGCGTGCACGAGTGTGTGTGTGTGTGTGTGTGTGATGAGTGTGCGGTAGTGTGCGGTGTGTGGGTGTGCCTAATAATATTATAGGATACCGAGACCGCAAACTCGTGTCATCGATACCGAGTACACGATTATAACAGAACAACATTATACGAGTTTAGCGATCTGAACTCTGAAGACGCAACTGCGACACCCCCTCCCCACCTCGAGGTTTTGATCGCCCGGTTCGTAGTTTCTTCTCGATGGCCTACGATATCGATTTCGGGAGAACGAACATTATAGGAGTACTACTAGTAATATATAGTATAATTGAACTGAAAAAATGCTCGTGTTATTGTTATTGTGAGCAGTGTTTAGCGTTTTCTGTTTTCTGTTATATTTTTTAAGCGTGTTTACGAGACCGCGTAAAAAAAATTCAATCGACCGAATAATGATTTCATAGACAGTCATTGTATCTTGATTGACTGATGGTTTACTGTTTTCTTGTTGACTTTCACATTAAATGTGTTAAATTTTTTTTATCAAAATGTATTTTTATGCACATTTTAATAACGTATAGATGTCTAACCTAAAAAATTTTAATCCAACACAGATGCACATAAGTTTTATTAGTTTATGCAACTGAGTAAACAGTTAACTCACACAAGTCACATATTTGAATTATGTGTTGGAATGTACAACCTACCTATATTGTACTTGCAGTGTTATGTACTGGACAAAAAGCTTATAACATTTTAATTTTACCTACCTTTGGATGTTGGAATGATCATAGAGTGATATTACTTATGACTTACACTCGCCAAGTTATCACTTAAATTTGAAATTATCATATAGGTATTATATTTTTGTAATTTGTTAATTATAAAAATATTAGTTAGGTTTCTATTTAAATTTATTCTCATTTAAAATCTAGTGCTATTTTAACAGTTTAGGAAACACTTGCCGGACAATTTTTTTTTTGTGTAAGCATTGTTTAGATGGGTACTGCTGTTGCAAAACAGGGGGCAACCCCTTGTTGTCTGTACCTAACCTCACCACATTGGCGTAATTAGGAAGAGGTTATGGAGATAGACCCCCCCCCCCCCCAAACTTTTTTTTTCACTCTTAACATTTTGATCAAAGTATTGATAATGACCATTCATGTTTGCTAAAAACGTATATCCCCTCCCCAACCAAATTCCTAATTACGCCACTGCCTTACCTTACAACCCATATACACCTTAAAGGGTTCAATAACCCCCTCAGACAGTTAATCAAAAACATCCTTTGATATGTTATATAAAACCACCTTGGGTAGGTTTCAAAGTAAAAACAAAATTTTTAATCCATAATGTTTTGTTATTATTAACAATAGTAGGTACCTATATTTATCACTGCTAAATCAAGGATTTTTCGTCTAATAAATTGCCCACTCTAATTAGCTCTAGATATTTTCTATTACATTTGATTTCAGTTTATTTAAATACATTATTTACTATAACAGTATAGCGTTCCTATAAGACTTATAACTGAGTTAATTTAATTAAAAAAAATATATATATAATAATATATAGGTACCTATTCTGAACCCAATACTAAAATCTGTTTCAAAAATTAAATTGATAAATACAGAAAATGTATTTTGTAGTAGTTTCTCATTAAGTATTTTTAAACACACTATTCTGGCATAGTATCTGCAGTCACATATGGTAATCAGTTGTTTCGTTTTTAGTGCCAAAATATTAGTCTTGGATTATTTGATTATATAATGCAGAATCTTCTATCCACGTATAATTTTAAATCTAGGTACCTAAATAAATATTATTTTTGTGAATTATTAATCAATATTCTTTATTCAGTGTTTAACCTTGAACTGAAGGTTTACATTGCTTACCCTCAATTATTATCCAATATTAAAATATGTATATAAATTATGTGATTACAATAAGAATGTATTTGATTAATGCAAGATGATATTTTTAATAATATCCTGGATACCTAACCTAACCTAATTGTTGTCTTTTATTAATTTTTCACATTTGTCATGATTTAATTTTGCATATGATATAATTTTAATTTTAACTTAAATATAAAAGACTAATTATTAATTAAGTACCTACCTATTAAAAAATAAATAACATTTTAATTTGATAATATTTGTTTTAGGATTTTATGGAAGACCATGGACTACTGAACAACGTAAAGACTTGTTTCAAAAGTGAGTAGTTTTCCAAGCTGTTTTGTTATAATTTGCTTTGCAAGCTAATTGTGTTTACCTTTATCTTATCTAGTATAAGTAGGTCTACCATAACTCCCTTTTTCATTAGAAATATATACATTTATAAAATTAAGTGATAATTTAGAATAACATCTCTTCAAAACGCTTTTGAAAAACAACATTTTAATTTAAATCCTTATGGACAAACAAATCACTAAACTAGTGTCCTTTTAAATTGTTCCTTGGATTTATTGTGAATTTATTAAATTAGTTACCTATTTATTTAAGTCTCAGTAATTTGTATTTTTAAGAAATTATATTTGTTTACCTTATAATATATTGTAAGACTTTGATTTATAAGACAAAAATGGCCGTTGTTAACATGAATAGTTTAATGAATGGGAAAGATTCAAGGTGGCTGCAACTGGAAGTATGTCGTGAATTTCAGCGTAATAAATGTTCACGTAGCGATACAGAATGTAAATTTGCTCATCCAGCTGCTAATGTGGATGTCCAGAATGGCAAAGTAACTGCTTGTTATGATAGCATTAAAGGACGGTGTAATAGAACAAAACCGCCTTGTAAATATTTCCACCCTCCACAACATTTAAAAGATCAACTTTTAATAAATGGACGAAATCATTTGGCTCTCAAAAATGCCTTAGTACAGCAAATGGGTTTAGTGGCTAATCAACCAATGGTTCCTGGACAAGTTTCTGCTCCCATGCCAAATCCAGCTTACTTACAACTACCCAGTGCTCAAATTGGAAATCCAGCATTTAACCCTTATTTTAGCCACACCAATCCGCTTATGAATCCTTTGTCACAATTTTTTGCTCCCAACCCTAATAACTTGCAAATGGCAATGCAACAAACGGTTGTACAACAAAATTTACAACCTCCAGAACGCTTAGATATGGACTTAAGCAAAATTTCCCCTTTCTATTATGAAAATTTATCATTGCCTGGTTTAATGCCTTTTAAAAGGCCTTCGGGTGACAAAGCAGGGTTACCAATGTTTCAACCGAGTGCAGCAGCAGCAGCTTACCAACAACTATTCCAATTTGTCCCACAACAAGCTGACTATCCCCCTACATCATCTGCAGCAGCTTTATCTGTAATGTCTAAACCACAACCACAAGCAGTAGCACAACAACAACAACAGCAGCAAACTCAACAGTCAATAGCCCCTCAAAAATCTCAGACACCTGAATTACCACCTGCAACTCAAACTCAATTGCAGTCTCAACAGCTTGCTGCGTTTCATCAATTGCTTGCTATGTCTCCCCAACAACAACTACAACAACAGCAAATTCAACAACAACAATTACAACAACAACAATCGTTACAGCAGCAACACCAATCCTTACAACAGCAACACCAGCAACAACAAGCTCAATTGGCTCAAGCTCAAAACCAAGCTCAAGCACATTTAGTCCAATCACAGGCCCAAGTACAGAATCAATTACAAGATCCTAATCAACAAGCTCAAATGCAACAACATCAAGCCTTTGCAGCAGTATTCAACCAATTGATTGCTATGCGACCACCTCCTCCACCATTAACTTTCCAAGCTCCGCAATTAGCGCCTAATCCAAATTTGATGGCATCATCATCTATGAAACAATTTATTGCAGCACAAATACAACATCACATACATAATACCAATTTAAATGGTAATCTAAATCCAGCTGCTATTAATGGTAATATTAATACTAAGGGTGACGAAGAGGTTCAACAACCTTTTAAGAAAATGAAAACCGCTTGACAATTTTGGACTTTTCATTATTAATGATTTTTTTAAATGATTTTATAGAATCATGAAATTCGCTTATTTAAGGTATAGATTATTGTACCCAGATAAATGTTCTAATTTTTATGGAACAACATTTTTTTTCCATTAAGCCTGTTAATTGGGTAAAATATTCTATTTTAAGTATATTAATCATTATTATTTTGAGTTATTTTAATATTAAGTTATCTTACTTATGCCATCATTAGACTATTTGTGTTTTTAAAATTTATTATTAAATTATTATACTTATTTTTATTCTATTGCGCTTGAACTTTAATCTACTCGCTTATAACCAGTTACTGCAATATTTAACCTACCTATATTATTGTTTAATCATGACTATATTATTGTAATTCATAATTATATTTAAACTATTGTATCGTATAGTTCCTTGTGTAAGTGCTTTCAAGCCACATTATTTAAAAAAATTAATAACTGCATTTTAATCCGTTAATAATTAGTTTAGTGATTTGAGTCCATTATTGTTTTTACATGCATTTGCATTTAGCAAATTAAATGTTTGTGTAATTAAGTGATTATGTTAAAATCAATTTTGTAAACTGTAAATCAAATATTATTTTTTGAATATGTAGAACATTAATGTTCTAATCATTTTTTTTACAAATGTTATAAATAATAGATATTAACAATCTATTTTTAATTAAAATTGCTAAAAGTATGTTTTTATGTCTTTTATAATCTGTTATAGATTTTGAACTAAAATACTGTGTAATTTAAGAATTTTTGAATTGTGATAAAATAGGTATTGCCTTAATCAATGTTATACTTAGATTTAAATCATCTACCTCTTTTTTTTTTTTTTTTTTTTTTCACTAATTAATGTCATTCCAAATTCCAATCCTAATGTAATCTATAGCAAGAATAATGTTTCTAATATATTTTTCATACTTATTGTGCATGTGCAATAAATAAAACACTGCTCTGCCAATATAATGCCCACCAAGCTTCCTTTTTTCATGGAAACCTTGTGTTTTTACATATTTATATATATTTATTAAATACAATTTATTTAAACATACTAACTAAACTGTAATATAAACACTGAAAATTTGGGATTGGAGTTAAGCTTGTGTGGAAATATATTAGTTTAAATAGTATTTACTGTTAAATAAAAAGGCTATAAAGCTTTTACTAGCCATTATTTATCTTGGTTATTGGCTATTTTCAAATAAACAAAACATTTATCTAGGCCTACATGTATGTTGCAAATACTTATGGTAGAATTAAGGCTATTTTTCTATAGTAAAATGCTTAAAAAAAACATTGTGAATAAAGTAGCTTGTACTTAATAAAGGTGGCATACCTAAGCTAGTCTTATTTTTATTTTTTTATCATCGTGTGTACCTACCCTTGCACTGGCTTCAACTATCTGTTTTTAGCAAAACTCATACATGAACAAACATATAGCTTCTTTTATTGGTTGTCTCCATAACAAGGGTTGAAGTGTCAATGTTTTGCTACAAGCAGCCTACAACTACCATTATCATTTGCAATGCCTGTCATCTTCGTTTGTTTTAAGCGGACAACCTCTTGTTTGGATTGCTAGGTAGCAATATCTTTACAAAAAGCAAAAAAATAAAATAAAAAATAAGAGGTCGTTTACTACTACTACTACTACTACTACTACCCAGCACTTGAGCTATGTTTTGTAAATTGTTTTTAAAATATTAGGCTTTTGAGTTCAAATGACTTGTTTTTATTTGTTTAGTGGTAAGTTGAAATATTGAAATAGTTAAATACATTTATTCTGATTTCATTATTTAGCCAGTGTTAAAATGCAATCATTTGTTTGTAGATATAGCACTGTAAACAATTATCGACAATCTCTTGTAAGTAAGCCTAACTTTTTTAGGTAAATTTTAAATTTAAATTTTTTTCAGTTTGCTTTATCATTAGACTTAGACATTTTTATTATATTTTGTTTGCTATTAAAATTTTTAAAGTCTATTAAATCATTAAATAATACTCGGGCTTTTTTTTATCAAATAATAATTAGATTCTCAAAACTTAAATTAAGTTTTAATTTTATTACTCTGTGCATAGTACATGATTTAATTAAAGTATGTATATGAAATAACAAGTTACTTAAAATAACTATTCAAAATAGCAATTTTTTTATATTAATTTGTGATACTAAGAAGTTACATGAACAAACATTTCTGGCCATTCTTTAAAAAAAAAAACTGTTTTGAATCCTAGACTTAACAAAGTTTTAAAAATTATAGAGCAAAAACAAATTTGCACATACCATTGGTTTTGCTCTAATGATTACTAATAAGTTATTATTTAAATATATAACTTTACACATTGAAGATACAAATAAATGTTTTTCAATTTGGAAAAAGTATATCTAGTGTTTGGCATTGTTGCTTTACTCTTCGGCGCCTTCACTTCGTTCACCAAATCAAAAACAACCCTCGATTTATTATTTAAGATTACCCTGGGTAGGTTACTGGGGTTTTTATACAAATAAGGCTGTAACATGTAATTATTGGCACTTGCATTATAGTTGTAGTACCTGCCAAACGGCCGTGCATAATACTAAAATTATAAACGAATATAACTTTAAAACTACCTATTTTTCCTCAGCTCTTTTTGCATTATCTTACCGTCAAAATAATTGCATTTTAAAATTTGAAAAAGCTGCCCATTAAAGTAATATATGCCAACTCTAGACCAATTTCAATTTTTTAATAAATATTGTTATAGATTTCTAAATACTTTAATATTATGCCCTAGAAATATACATATTTATTTTTATGGTCACTTACATTTTATATTTGACAATTTGTATATTATAATTTATCTTTGAGGACATGCATATTCAAATTTAACAATTAGCAACTATTTAACCGGCTTGTTCTCAAATGTTATTTTTTTAACCAAGTAAATGCATGTATACAATAAATCACGTTCTTCCAAAAGTATGTTGTAATTCAAATTCATATGAATGATGATGGTGACCAAGAAAATAGCTTGATGTATTATTTCTACTCTTCCTAAAAATATATATTATGATGTTTTAACCCTTGCTAGTTATACAAATTTGTTAAATGTAATAATTATCTTATTCTTTTGCATGAATACATAAGAATTAATAAAAGGTGAAATGGATATCTATATTCATTTAATATTATTTATACTATTCTGAGTTATGACATGAATCATTTACCAAGTATAAATGAATGAAATAACTTAATTTATTAGTAGGTATTGTTATAAAAAGCTACATCTCTAGACACTTGAATGGAGTGTTCTTCACACTGCAGTCTAGTGATAAACAGTACATACTGAGTTTTAAAACTAGGTCAATTGTTGTAGAAAAAAGATTGTTTGAATAATTTATTTAATATTATGTTTGACTACATTTTTATCAATTTGTGTTATAATGTTATCTTTAAGTAGTTATATAATATATTAAATCTGAAAATTAAAAAAAAGCAACTACTTAATACATACTTTTGTATAAAGTAGTTAGTAAGGTTTTTTTATTGAATGCTCTTTTCTATAAGATAACTGCAAGATTGTATTTTATATTGAAACTACTTAGTTAACATAGACTTAACTTCAAATTAGATATTAAATACATTTTATTTATAGTTAACACGTTCAACACCACTCGTGATTTCAGAAACGACAGAAATAACAAAAACTAAAACCACCCATACCTTTAAATTTAGAGTTCATTGTCTATGGCCTATCTAAGTTTCAGAGTAAATTAAATAAAAAATCCGATTTAATTAGAGCATATATAAACATATAAGTTTTTGACGTGTTAACGTGTCACCGGCCTGTTGGAATGAGCTCTGTTGATGCGTAAAAGTGTAAATAACAAATTATGGTATTCAAAAGTACCTAATATGGTCGATTTTAAGAATAATATAATATTTGTTAAACATTTATGTCAAGTATAAATCTTAATCTTATTTAACAATATTAATATAGAATAATAAAGTTTATAATCGTATTTTAAGTATGACTGAAAATATAAGGAGTATCAAATTATCAATTTATAATTGATGAATTGTGTATGGGAACGGATAAATATATACTTACATAAACAACAATTATTTAAACATTTTCATATACATGTGTGTGTTTTGTCTATTGTAACAGCTTGGTTTATACCAAGTTTCTAAAAAATGAGTACTACTTTTTTGAACGCATGAAAACAATGTTGAATTAGTACAGGTAGTTTATTATATTTGGTACTAAGTATATTGAAACTACCCTTAATGAATTGTTGACCATCTGCTGCTCTCACTCTTCATTAGAATATATATAAAAATACAATGTTTGTGCTGTATTTTTACATTGAAAAGTATAATCAATGTAGAACAAAAAAAAAACAAATAATGACAGATTGTATGCAAAGAATGATTCACAAACTTATATTGTGTTTTGGTAATAGATGTATGTATTCAGTAACTATAAATTGAAGTACAAAATAATTATAATCATTCTTATTGTAGCTAACAAACTTGGTGAAAACTTATGCATACAGTCTTAACTCAAATGGTTTATATTATTTTGTGTCTTATTAGCTGAGCATGTTATTCTGGAGTAAAAATGAAAAATTCACCCAAGTAATATATATGGCTTTGGCCCGTTTGTGCTACAAAATAATGTATATTATCAAACCCAGGCTGCTGTTACAATACTTGTGAATGGATTCAATTCTAACCTGTCACCTCTCACTCGCATCTGCCTCTGTTTCACCCCAGCCCCCAATCCCTAGCACCAATTTCAGCCTGAAACCCTGCGATGTTTTCAATACTATGTATACATAATACATGCTATGGTGATTGTTGTTTACCGGTTACTATGCTGTTTTCTGGTCGCTAATGGTGGATTAAAAATAAATTAAAATAAAATATATAATGCCTCGCATTTACGAAACGCTATTATCTGTGCATTTTTTTTTTGCCGTAATTTTGTGACAATTGCAATTA